AGCAGGGAGCCCGATGTGGGACTCGATCCCAGGACCCTGGGATCATGACCTGAGCCGAAGGCAGACGCTTAACGACTGAGCCACCCAGGCGCCCAAGAATCACATTTATTGGAGAGACGGGGGACGGGGCTGGGCTCAGCATGGAGCAGGGGCGTGTCAGGAAGAGAGACTCAGGAAGCCAGGAAGCCCCCATCCACTGGCACAGCGGAACCTGTGGTCATGCTGCTCCGGTCACTCAGCAGGAAAAGGATGACGTCCACCACGTTCTCCACCTCTGTGGGCAGGGTGGAAGTTAGGGTATTAGGTGAAGGGGGCTGCTCTTCATCCTTCCCTCCCACTCCTCAATTGAGGCAGGTACAGGTGCTACTGGTGCAACTCCCCATTGGGCTTCTGCCTGACTCACCAGCAAACTTGCCAAGTGGGATTCGATCCAACATGGTCTTGGCCTTTTGGGGGTTGCTCCAATTGGCCTGGCCCATGGGGGTCATCACCACTGTGGGGTTCACCGTGTTCACGCGGATCTACACCAGGACAGGCAGGAGGTCAGCAAGGCAGGCTAGGTGCCCAGGGCAGGTGGGCTGGGTGATGGGAGGCATCCCAGTGGGGCTCACCTTATGTGGCCCAAGCTCCAGAGCCATTGCCTTGGTCAGCATGTCCATGGCACCCTTGGTGGAGCCTGTGAGGAGAGGCATGCCTCAAGCCTGAGCTGGCTGCAGGCTTGGGGGTCAGTGGGGTCGGGGCTAGGGTGTAGTCGGGGCTTACAGTAGACGCTGTGGTTAGTTATCGCACGCTGTGAGGTCTGGCTGGAGACGTTCACGATGGAGCCCGGGGCTCCCCGAGCTATTAAGCCCCTGGCCACGATCTGGAATTGCAGAGGGAGCATGACGCAGAACTAGTCACCCACCATTCCCACTCCCGCCCTGAAGGCAGCTCACCTGGGACACTTGGATGACAGCCCGTAGGTTCACGTTGAAGGACCTGGAGGCAGGTGGAGAGACCCTGGTCAGGGACTGGGGCTGCTGCTGCAGGGGGCAGCCCTTGCCCTAGGGTTCCTCCACCCTGGCCGGCTCACGTGTCGTACGCCTCCTTGGTGACCTCCAGGAAGGGCTGCAGCAGCGCCACGCCAGCGTTGTTCACCAGCAGGTCCACAGGGCCGACGTTGCCCAGTGCCCGCTCCGTGGCCTCCCAGTCACCCAGATCCACACACACGGGTTCCACCCCAGGGCACTGTGCGTATGGGGGTGGGGGCGCACAGCTACCAGAGGCTCCATGCCCAAGGAGGGGCACAGCTGGGCCTCTGCCACATGAGACCTTTCAGACTGACATGGGGAGGGATTAGAGATCCCAGAGGGTCCAGGTCCCTTCTTGGGGTTCAGAATCCCAGGCTGCTGAAGGAGGTGTTAGAGGAGCTAACACGGCCCCTGGGCCCCTGGGCATTTCAGGGCTTAGGGACCTGGAGGCTGGCCCAGCCTCTGGCCAGTCCACTTCCTGCACCCTATTGCCTCAGGCCCCGAGCCTGCAAAAGCAGCCATTTCTGCCTCCTTCCAAGCCCAGCGGGTGTCGCCGTTCTTCCGGACACTGGGCCGCTCATGCAGGCCGAGCGCCCCGGGAGGGGTTGCTGAGGACCCTTGGTCAGCCCCAGCGCCTGGCGCCTGCGCGTCCAGGCCCAACTTCCCCGCCGCCCCACCCGCCTCCCGCTGCCCTCTGGTCGGGGACTGGGTGGCGCCTACCTCGCGGACCAGGCTGTCCAGGTCGGCCCGGGTCCGGCTCACGGCCACCACCTGCACACCCGCGGCGTGCAGCGCCTGGACAGTGCCGCGCCCGATTCCTGCGCGGAGCGCGGCTCAATGTGGCTCACCACCCCCTCGCCCGACGGCCACCCCCGGACCCTGGCCGCCCGCTGTCCCCCCACCCCGGCCGCCCCTCAGGCCCACCTTTGCCCGCCCCAGTGACGAGCGCCCGACGGCCCGCGAGCCCCAGCTCCATGGTTAGCGTTGGGTCCTAGCGCTCGGCGGCGACTACACTGCAGGTGGGAGGGCACGGGGCGGGGCGGGGCGCGGCGGGGCGCAGAGCGACCAATCACAGGCCGGTGTCCGGGCTGGGGGCGGGGACATTAAAATAGCGCCCCCCAAAGTGGGAGACTCGCCGAAGGGAGTGGGCGCGGCAGGGGCGGCTAGTCAACCGGGCGTGAAATCGGTTTAGCAGCCTCCGCGAGCATTTTTTTGCCCTTTTTTTTTTTTCTTGCCAGGGTTGTTACAAAAAAGCAGATGTGGTAGTTAATGCCGGAAAGAATGTGTAGCTACATGTGAAATGGAGGACGGAGTGCTAACATTTCTTGTTTTGTTTGTGAAAAGGAAAGTTTGGTGAAAAGGATTGCATGCCTCCTCCCCACCCCCCGACCTGGGATTGGCTCAGGCGGGTGCACCTGGAGGGCCCAAAGGGAGAGTTTGGACAACTAAATAAGCCTGAAGAAGCCAATGCCACAAAGGTCCACTTTAACCTTGAAGGAGCTGAACCCCAGTATCATCCAGGCCCGCCCACTTGAGACCACCGGCACTTTACAAAACTCGGGTAGGATAAGAAGAGATTGAGGTCATCGAGGTGCACAGTGGCCAGCAAGGGCAAGCATTGCTTCCTGAGGCTTTGGGGTCATTCACAGATACACATGAGATATATATGTGTGTGTGCACTGCCTCCCCCATAAAAGCTGATTTGTTTAGTGGGTCATGGTGAGAAAGCCAAAACTGCCTGGAGTACCTTCTATGGCCAAGAGTAGGGAATCGGTGGTTGCAGGGCCTCTGGGTCACTGGGGCTTTGGGCCCGGAGGAGTGGACTGGCTGGAGAAGAAGGTAACCAGGGCAGCACAAAGCACAGATCTGAGAAGCCCCTGGAGAACAGCCAAGTGAGTCCTCCCCACCAAGCCTGGTCCTGAAGTGCACACCCCCGGCTGCCGCTCAAACCCTGCCCTCTGCCTCCCAGAGGCCAAGGGAAGAGTAGCCCCCCACCTGAAAGTCCTTCCTGAAAGGCACATCTGCTTTGATCCCTTCTGTGGCTTTCCTTTGCCCCCAGAACAGGGTTCAAATCCTCTAACCTGTCCCGTGATCCTCAGTGGGCCAGGTCTGGCACAAACCTTGCTGTGGGAGGCCCTGCAGGTTGGCCGGAAACGCCCTCAGCTCTCCCCACCCCGACCCTGTGCTCTCCCTGCCCAGGGGAACCATTGCCTGTAGGACCCCACCCCAGCCCCTCATCCCTTGCGTCCTTGCTCAAGGTTGGAGACTTTTCCAGTCTAGCTGAGTGACCACCTCAGGCCTCATCACCCCCCAGGTGCCCTGTGGGGACTCGGCTCGGACGGTCGCGGCTGAGCCCGGCAGGACCCGCAGAGCTCCTGTGCCTGGCCTCGGGCCAGACAGAAGGCAGGGCAGCAGCTGTGGACCCCTGCCCAGCTCGGGCCGCCTTCCCGGGAGTGGTCTTGTGAGGGGAGGTGTGCCTGGAGGTGGAACTGGATTCCCTTGGGCTGGATAAACTCGATTGGTCCAGCACCCCGCCCCCTCACAGCCGGGCTGAGCGCTCCGTCCCATCTTCCCGAGGGATGGCCTACGTCTAGTCCAGACCCCAGACCCGTAACCTCTCTGACCCGCGGTGGTCGCAGCTGCGGGGCGGGGCTGAAGGGCGGGACCAGAGCCTTCAGGGAGGGAAGGTAGCTGTAGGCTGCCCTCCGGCCTCTGGCCTCTGGCCTCTTGGGGGAGGGGCATGGACAACAAGAATCTCCTCTGTGTAAACAAGTCGCTGCCCTTCAGCCACAAGCCAGGGTCGGCGGTGGAGTCCGGCTGGCTCTAAGATCTGCCCCCTCACTTCATGGAAAGTGAAATGTGTGCCCCCCATCCCTGATTCCTCCCCGGCCTCGCGGCTACCCCTCCAAAACCGTGGCACGCACTGGATCCAGGAGAACGGCCTCCATTTATTTAGGCAAATCCAACCAGCACAGCGGAGGACACAGTGGGCGGGGGCGACAGGGGGTTTCCCGGCACCGCGGGTGCGGATGGGGAGCGTGGCCAGATACCGAGTCTGGATGGGAGAGGGGCTGGTGGGGCCGGCAGGGTGAAGGGGCCTCGGGCGTGAAGGCGTGGCCGGAGCCGGATGTTGGAGTGGAGGCGTGGTCCGGGTGTGGGGAGGGGCCTGGTGGGCCGAGCACCGCCCCTCCCCCCCACCCCCGGGCTCGCCAGCGCAGGACGCTCTAGGGGGCCAGGTACCCGGCGTCCACGAGGATGCCCGAGCCGCTAGTGGGGCCGCTGCGGTCGCTGAGCCGGAAGAGGATGCTGTTGACCACGTCCTCCATCTCTGCGGGGAGCGGCGGGGGGCAGGCGGGGTCAGAGTGGCGCGCCCCGGCCGCCCCGGCCGCCCCAGCAGCGCCCGCCGCTCCCCGCAGCCCCGCTGACCTGCAAACTTCTGCAGCGAGTGCCGCTCCTTCAGCTTCCGGGCTAACTCGGGGTCCGTCAAGACTTTCTGGCGCATGGCCATCGGCACCACCTTGGGGTTCACGGAGTTTACCCGGATCCAGGGCCCAGGGGTCGAAGTGGGCCTCATCAGGTATATGAGCCCCGCCCCCACAGCCTCTGCGCACCGCCCCCCGCACACACCTGCAGAACTTGCTTTCTGTGTTAAGTCCATCACTGACCCCACTGCCTAGAGCCTTGGGTAATCCTCAGACCTCTCCCATGCCCTCTGCTGCCCCTTACCATTGCCAGCCCCAAGCCCTGCCTGCACCCCACCTTATGTGACCCCCCACCCCTGTTCCCCAGGGCCCCCCTCCCATGCCCACCTTGTATGGCCCCAGCTCTACGGCCATGACTTTGGTGAGTATGGTCATTGCGCCTTTGGTGCAGCCTGTGGAGGGCAGACAGTCCTGAGGACCCCTTAGGGATTCAGCCTCCTTTGCACAGAGGCTAAGCCCCGGAGCCCAGCATCTCCTGCATGGAACGGGTGGTGCAGGCTGGCACAGGGACTCACTGTAGACAGCTAGGTTGGGAAAGGAGACATGGTCCACCATGCTGGAGACACTGACAGTGGAGCCAGGCACTCCTTGGTGGATCATGCCCTGGGCCACAATCTAGAAGCCAAGAGAGGGGTAGCCTGACTCCACCGCACTCCCACCTGGGCCTTGTCATCACTGGGCCTTGTCCTCCCACTGGCTCACCTGGGATACCTGGATCATGGAGCGCAGGTTCACACTGAAGGTCCTGGGGGAAGGCAGACAATCAGATGGTTCGTGACCACATCTGCCCCGCATCCTCAGCAACCCCTCCCCAGTCTACTTGCTTTCCGGCTCCGCACCTGTCGAAGACCTCTTTGGTGGCCTCCAGGAAGGGCTGCTTCAGCAGCATGGCAACATTGTTCACCAGCAGATCCACAGGGCCCACATTGCCCAGTGCCTGCTCTGTGGCCTCCCAGTCACCCAGGTCCACACACACAGTCTCTATCCCGGGGCACTGTGGAGAGGCATTGGTCAGTGATCAAGGAGGTACTCCCAGCAGGCTCATGAGGCACCCAGAGGGTGTGGGGGGCAGGCTCGGGCCACGGCGGGGCTGCGTGCCTCACCTCCTTGGAGAGGCTGACCAGGTCAGTGTTGGTGCGGCTCACAGCTATCACTCTGGCTCCCAGGGCATGCAGGGCCTTCAGTGTCTCTCCCGATCCCTGCAGGGGTGCACCGGGTAAGCAGATGGCCCAGTACATCTGGGTCAAGGCTGAGGACCGAGGCTGCATCCCCTTCTGCTCAGAAAAGAGCAGTGAGTGCTGGGCAGAGAATGGACACCAGGGGGTAAGTGGTGGTCTGAGTCAGAGGCTTGGCCAGCCAGGATCTGGCCAAGGGAGGCCCCAGAGAGTGGCTCCTTCCCACAGGGCCCAGGGAAGAGGCCCTGGCTGGATCTCTGAGCCTGAGGACCACTGTCTGGGGGCAGGGAGTCTTGCACTGCCCAGGGAGTGGCCAGTGTCCTGTCCCAGTGCAGCCTGCTGGGTGGTGGACATCAGCCTGGGCTCAGGTCCAGGGGCTGTCAGGGGTGCAGTGAGGGGATAATTGCTGGTGGGGTGGTCCGTGACATGCATGGAGGGACTCACAGACCCCAACACAGGCCTGTGAGGCTTCGGGCCCCACCTTACTCTCCACCTCAGCCCCTCCCGCACCCTCAGCTGCCCTGCTCACACCCACCTTTCCCTGCCCCTGCCACGAGGGCCTGCAGGCCACTGGAATTCAGCTGCATGGTGCTGACTCTGAGCCTCTGTCCAGCGGAAGAGGAGGGCACGGAGGCTTTAAAGGCCTGGGCAGGCCGTTCTGGGGGTGTCGAGGAAGGGAGGCTGCGGGCACAGGGCAGGGGCGGGGCATCACGACAGCTTCTGTTTGCACATTCACAGGGATCTGCTGCCCTCCTCACCACAACCCAAAGGTGCTGGCCAAAAATTCCACCCTGAGTTTTGGAAAAGGAAATAAAAATAAACCCTGGACTGGGGGGCATGCCCCTTCTTGGCTGGCTGGGGACAGATGGCCTGGAGCTGGACCCTGCATGATAGCAAAGGCACACTGGGCTTGAGGCTGGTCTCCCACCCCGCTGACCCTGCTCCACCATGGCCCCAGTCTGGGGACCACTGCAGCTCCAGAGTCTTCCTCATGCGCCCCTGGCCACCCTAGGACTCCTGTCCCTTGGGCCTCCAAGCACAGTGCTCAGCCCTGTCCACAGGTGTGGCCGCCCTGAGGTGCCCTCATTCCCTCTCAAGGGTGGCTCTGGGGTGGGGGGGTCCTCTCCTTCCCCAGCTGTCCCCTTTTCGTTCCCTTCCCTCCCCCTTTTGGAACTTCATCTCGGCACAAATCGGTGGACTCTTCGCAGTGGCAAAGGACTCACTGTGGGCTTCTTCGTGCCACTGATGCCCGTGGATTCTGATGGTGAGTCTGCTCCTGGGGATGAGTCCAAGGGGATGTCCCGAGTGCCTTCCAGTCCTATGTCACAGGCCTTGCAGGACCAAAGCCACTGTCTGGAGGTCCAGAGTTCAGGCACATGACCCCTCCACCAGGCACTCCAGGTGTGACCCTGACACACAGGGGGCCCTTGCTGCCTCTCCCTCATTCAGGCCGGGCTGGACCCCAGGTGCGGTCCCGGGAACACAGGCTGCTGTCCTAAAACGCATCCTGCCTCTCTGACACCTATTCTGCTCCCGGAGGCCCTGGTGGGCTTGCCCTCTGGGCATGTCCTTGCCCTCGTGAATCATCAGGGAGTAAAATTGAGGAAATCCTTGCCCTGGGCATGGCACAGCACATGCAATCTGGCTTTCTTCCCAGACACTTGTTAGAAATCCTTTCCCAAGAGGGACTCAGGGTGGCGGCTGTGGGGGCGGAACAGTTCTGTGCACAGCGAGGCCCCTAGAATGCGCATTGGAGCCGTGCCTGGGAAGCACGTTGGGGCAGCATAGGGCTGAGCCCTCATCTACAGTGGGACCCACAGGTCTCATCCAAGATCCCCAGGATGGAGTAAACCTGCTCCCACCCCTCCCAGAGCCCTGGGAGCTGGCTTCCAGCCCCAAGCCCCTGCCCCCGCTTGCCTGATCTCACAGAAGACCCTCTGGGGAGTGTTCTCCCAAACACCCACAGGTTAAAAATGCCTCCCTGCTTCCATTAACTCACACCCCAAATCAAAACACCACACCGCGTGCTCCATCCCTCCAAGGCTGCCACCGTGTTCCAGACACAGTTCAAATGCTACAGATAATTTTTATTTTGAAATAATTCAGAATTGCAAGGATGCTACAAACCTCCCCACCGCGTCATTTGAGAGTAAAACTAGCACCCCATCACCCCCAAGTAGCCTCATGTCTGCTTCCTTCAAACACAGACATTATCCTGTACATGCACACACACACGTGTGTGCACATGAACACACATGCACACGCACGAACACACAAGCCAGGAGACTAACACCACGAATCCCCACCATGTGTCCTCAGCTCCCATTCAGGTCTCATAAATTTTCCCAGTGATGTTCTTTTTAAAAAGAACAGTTTCATCGAGGTATAGTTGATAGACACTGTCAACAAAAATTCAACTGAGTAAATTTTAAAGATCTAATTGGCTTTCTCAATCAATTTGTGGATTAGGCATCTTCCTATCTAGCAAGTAGAGAAGAACTCTACTGAGCGGCAGAAAAGGAGAGGTTTTTAAAGGAAGAGAGGGACTAGGAAAAAGGAAATTATTAGCAAAGGATGCCTTGCTCCAGGCATGGTGGCTCTCCTAAGGGGAATAGACACTTCCGAGTGCCGACCGGGACATTCCCAGGTTGACTGGTTCAAGGGTCCCTGATACGAGTGACTATGGTTTGGGCCTCTGGTTTCCTTTTTTTCTTTTTTTTTAATGTTTTATTTATTTATTCATGAGAGTCAGAGAGAGAGAGAGGCAGAGGCAGAGGGAGAAGCAGGCTCCCCACTGAGCAGGGAGCCCGATGCCGGGCTCAATCCCAGGACCCTGGGATCATGACCTGAGCCGAAGGCAGACGCTTAACGACTGAGCCACCCAGGCGCCCCTGGGCCTCTGGTTTTCTTTTTCTTTCTTCCTTCCTTTCGTTCTTTCTTTCTTTTTTAAGATTTTATTTATTTATTCGTAAGAGAGAGAGAGCGCACAAGCAGAGGGAGAAACAGGCTCCCCACAGAGCAGGGAGCCCAATGTGGGACTCGATCCCAGGACCCTGGGATCATGACCTGAGCCGAAGGCAGATGTTTCACCAACTGAGCCACCCAGGTGCCCCTGGGCCTGTGGTTTTCTTTTTAGCAACACTGAACTGCACAGATTAAATGTATACAATTGGAGGAGTGAGGGCATAGGCCAACCCCCATGAAACCATCCCTACAATCAAGGTCATAAACACATCCATCACCTCCCCAGGTTCCTGGCGTCCAGTTGCTTTGTGTTTGCAGTGAGAGCACGTGGCCTGAGACCCTGCCCGCACAGTGTCCTGGGAGGACTGTCCATGGCTCGGCTCATCCCTGGAGGTCACTCACTCCTCTGGCCTGAACGGGTAGTGAAAGGGTCCAGTCGAGGCTCACCTGTGGTTTGGGATGGCCCGCCTCATCTCCCTCACTCCTCAGAACACTCCTCAGTCTTTCCTTGACCTTTATGACCTTGGCATTTCTGGAACCTGGAGGTCAGTTCTTTTGTAGAAAGCCTGTCAGCTGGGCCTTGCCCAGTGTTCCCTCGTGGTGAGGGGCTGCATGTCTCTGTCAGGGGCTCCAGGGAAGGGCGCCGTGTCTCACAGCAGGCCGTCAGCTGATGCCATGCGAACCCGTCTCACCGCTGGTGATGTTAACTCTGATGGAGGGATGTCAGCTGTGACCACCTCAGGCACAGCATTGTCCTTCTGCTTCACATCTGTCCTCCGAACCGCGGGCAAAACGTCCCCTATGGCTCGGGTCCGCCGTGCGCGGCGTCCGCCCACCCAGTGCACACCCGCCACAGTGCATCTGACTTAACTTCCAAGTAAAGCCAGTAGCAAAATCTGACTAACGTAATTCAGCCAACAGCGCACAACCAGCCACGCACTCCCTTAGATGCTGGAACCTAAACTCAGAAGCCTAGCCACTACCAGCTCGGCTTATGGCAGATGGGGCGGGAACGGCGGGGAGAGGACAGAATGGGCCAGCATGCACACAGACGTGCACGCGTAACGGGGAGCTGACGACACCTCTCGTCTGCAGCTGGTCACACGGTCACCTGTTCGCCTTGCACCACGCCACAGCCCAGGGTCCTTGCCCGCTGGAGGAAGACCTCTGTCTGGTGGCCTTCTGACCACCGCCGCGTGTGGCAGTCGCCACCAAGTCGTCTTTGGGGATTGGGTGTCACCCCAGGATCCCGTGCCCCTGCTGAACTCAGGAAGCCCGGCTCGACGGCAGCCATGCCCGCCAAACTCTCTGGCTGCCGAGAAGGGCCCGTCGTGAAGTTATTTCTCAAAAGGGGTGCTGAGGGGTGCACCCCCTGGGCTCTCCGGGCTGGGAGAGCGGGTCTCACGGGAACGTGCCAACCTCTCTGCGCCCGTGGTGCCTTCCGGCCCAGCATGCCTTGGAGCCCGGCATTTCCAGGTGTTTCGTGCTGCTGTCCTTGCGTCCGGGCCCTAGCCCGCGGGGCAAGCGCTCGGCTGGCACCACCAGCTGCTGCCCTCGCAGGAGGCCGGCTCTGCTGGTGAGCCCTGTGGACGTCCGTCTCCACGCAGCTTTGTGTCCCTTCTTCACAATTTTGTTGATTAGGAGCAACAGACCTGGGGAGGCATCTGTGTGGAATGGACACCAAGGGCGTGGGAGCAGCGCAGTTGTTGTGGTGTGTGTGTGGCCCACCACTTCCCAAACTCACGCTTGGGATTTCACCCCGGCCTGCCCAGACTCACAGAGCGGGGGGCACGGGGCCTGTGCAGTAGGAGGACCCGCGGCCGCGGCACGACCCGTGGGGTGGGGGAGGGGCGGGGGGGCGCAAGGGGTTCTTTGGGCAAAGGGACAGTGGGCTCTTGAGACACTTAGTGCTGCAAAGCGTGTGTCCCTCTGTCCCACCCCAGAGTTCCAGGTCCCATGCTTTAGCAGTTGGTGCTGCCACTTTCACAAAGCGTCCCTGGGGCCTGAGGGGTCCATTTGCACCATCATTCCCGGTGAGACTGAGTGTGGGTCTGCAGAGGGTCGGCGCTTCTTCGAGGACTACTGCGGACACTTTCAGGTCTCTTATGCAGGCCTTGGGCTGGGAACGCCCCTTCCCCTGTGTCTCTACAGCCAGGAGAAGCACCCGCTGCCCCCACTGAACCCTCTGCGCCCACTGAGCCCGCTGCCCCCCCCCGCGCCCGCTGAGCCCCCTGCGCCTGCTGAGTCCGCTGAGCCCGCTGCCCCCCCTGTGCCCGCTGAGCCCCCCGCGCCCGCTGCCCCCGCTGAACCCGTGCTGAGGAGCGGCGCACTGCTGCGGGCGCGGGGACGCACATGCAGCCCACCGTGTATGCAAAGCTGGCAGCAGCCAGACCCGGGGCCCAGCCTGCTGTGGGGTCTCAGCTGCTGCCAGAGTCTCTCCAAGCCTGGGACCCAAAGGCCACGCGGGTGAGGGACAAGGCCTGCCGACGAGCAGAGGTGCCAACATGCAGGGCAGGCCAGGCAGACCCCTGAGGGGCTGAGAGACAGGGCAGAGGGACAGGGCAGCCCGGGGGCCTTCCACAGGCTCACGGATGTCCCCCAGGCTCCCCCCACAGGCACACCA